AACCAAAAAACACCTGACGCCCCGCGAGCGCGAAGCGTGTGTGAACGCGTTCCGCCGTGCCGTGGAGGTTGCACACGGCACCCTAGCGGCACCCTAGCGCCGTCCGCAACCTAGCAAACATGCCTGGTGGCTCACTCGAACAGCCGCCGGGCGGTGGGACCGCGCGGACTCCTCCTGCTGGAGGAAGCAGTGCTCCTCCTGCTGCTGGCGAAAAAAACAGCAGCAGCGAGGAAGCACCCATCATCTACGCCCACCGCCTCCGCCTTCGCCTTGTCTCGTTCAGCCTCTTGCTTCCTCCGCTCTGCCTCTTGCTGCGACCGCTCTGCCTCTGCTCTCTTAGCCTTCTCCTCCTTTAGCGCCTCGGTGCTCTCGCGCGCGAGCTCCTGAGCCATGCTGCACTCAGCGGTGCTTGCCGCCTCGCGCTGTTTACTTTCGACCAACTCATGCTCCTTTTCTGTCAGCGCTTTCTGTGCGGCGGCAACACCGCCCCTTTCGACCGCACGCCGTGTGTTTGACGCTGCGCAGGCGGCGTACACAGACTGCCCCGACGCCTGTTCGTACTTGGCTTGGTTTTTCCTGAGGTTCTTCGCGGCTCGCCTGCTGCCGCCACCAAAAACGCGCCTCTTTGTTTTTTGGTTACGGTTTTTTTGCTGCTGTGCTTCGCTGACAGGCGCTGCAGGAGACCCGCTTGGAAGACCATTTTCAGACATGTAGATCTCGCTGTTGACTTGAGCGATTCCAGTTCGGTCTTTTGTGTTGTGTGGTCTAACTCCCAAGGTGGTGCACTGCAAGCTCGCTTTCTCAAGAAAGTCAGAGGCGGCCTCGGGCATTGGCCATACAGCTGAAATTTGTAGGTTTTTCTGGGTTGTTCATCCGCCCTATAAACGTTAGCATAAACCGAGCTTGCAGTGTCCTCTCTTGGACTTGTGTCCAGATGTGTGCAACGTATGAAGAGCCACGTCGCTGCCTGGACGCAGAGCTACTTGCACAAAGTACGGAGGATAAAGTATACTTTGATCGGTATGATTCAAGAGCTGACTTGAGAACCAAAAAGTCCGCGTGCCCTCCTTTTTTTTCTCAAAATCCTCGAATAGACCGGTCACTTTTTTGCCGCCAAAATCGCCCCGATTGGCACCCCTAACTGTACCACTAGTTGTTTTCAAGACGTCCCCGACTGCTGTACATCTCATTTCACGTATTGTAAATATCATCGACGTCAACAAACGGTTGTTGCCAGTGGTCTCGGCGATGCTGACTATTCGTACCACCCCCTTTCTTAGCAAAAGACGCGTAGTTTGAGGTATAGCAAGCCTCCATTGGCCCCGGGGATGGTGAGCTATCGTCCCCTGAATTTTACGGAGGCAAACTCGCTTTTCAGGACGCTTTTCTTCAGGAAAAACCACGTGCGTCCATAAAGCGGGGTCGACTGTAAGTCCTACCATGAACGGTCGCACACTAACCATGATGAATCGCTAAAAACAATACGTGGTATCTGCATACGTCGTACCATGAACGGATGCACTATTAACCACGATGAATCACTAAAAACAAATCTTGGTATCTACATGCGTCGTACCATGAACGGTCGCACGTTAACCATGATGAAGCGGTCGTCCCGGGTGAGGCTCAGGCTCAGCACGGCACCCCCACACTCCACTGCCTCCATCCGCCTCGCCGTGACCTTGGGCTGAAGGGAAGCGGCGTCACCGCCGCTACCGCTCCGGAGAACGTGGATAAACACGTCCTTCTCATCGTTGCCGCTGCCATCATCATCATCCGAGCCACCCGGATCACCGGGCGACATCGCAGCAGGCCTCGTGGACGTCGATTTCGGTGGCGACGCCGTAGCCTCCATCAACGGGATAAACGCGACCCGATGACACATCATGGGAGTGTCTCCGGTGGCCACGCAAGCCCACAAACCGGAATTGCTCATCTAGATTCGGAGTCGACGGACAAGCAACCATGGGGAGGGGGGGGGGGGGG